TTCCCAAACCAAAACGAATTACTATAGTTACTATTCGATTAAACGATAATTATTTCGAAATATTTTTCTACTATAAATAATGCTACTTAATGCGGTGACATTCAGCTAAATGAACGTGCAATAATTATAATGTAATTCAATCAAATGGTTCAGTATCATATTTATTCCGTTTTGTGTATTCTGCTCGATGAAATCGTGCGGCATTCAACGTGTTTATTCTACATTTTTATTACTAAACATATAATAAAATCGTATTATTGTTATTCAGTTATCTAAAATTCCTCGAAACAGACCATACTCATATATAAACAATTTTGTGTAGAATATATCCAAGTACGGTAAAAGAAGAAATGGATCGATTTTTTGTTTTCAAATAGATATAAATTACTTTGCATTACATTAAATTACACTTGCATACTAAGTACCTGCACTTTAATTACTTTTCTCCAAATTCACATCTTCTAGTGTACACTGACCACAATAACTTTTTCCAGTGAGTCGAAATATTTAACTATTCGTAACCGTAATTGCATGTCAAGCCGATAAATCTCGGCGATAAAAGAAATTCCAGATCCGCGGCACGCATCCGCGATGGTGACAGGATCGTTCTACGAGAAGGATAAAGGACAGGACGTAGATAAATCATGGTGTTTCGTGGCAGTAGACGGAAGGGGTGTGGGCAAGCCGACGGTTGAACAGGATCAACCTATAGATGTTTTCGTTCCACCGTGGACTGACACGCTTTTATCTTCCGGAAAGGACTTTCAGGATCTTGAGGACATTCCCGCAAACTGTTCAAACACAGTAATTCTATAAGAAGTGCTGGCCACGTAGTAGAAACGATTTACACAGTGAGACACCAGGATTCGCGAGTGTCTGATAAATCAGAAATCTGATCAAGAAAGGATGAAAAATTTATTGGAACAAATATTTACCGCTGAGAGTTCTTATTAGATAGTCTATAATAGGCTTTTTATCGATTAAGTATTTCGAATGATGTTTATGTGACTTTTATTTTATAAGAAACATTAGTTGTATGCACTATTTGTATAGATATGAGAAAGTACATTTTTTTAAAGTCTGTGCTGAATATTTATTTTATTATGCGAATGAGAAACTTTTAATATTGCAATGATTGTTTTTCCGTTTATTTTTATCGATCGTTGAAAATCAATTTTATATTTATACGTATACTCTGTATATTTCTAGAAAGTATTAACTTTTTGTACTATTAACCCTTTTTACTTCCATATTTCATCTCTAATTTCATTAGATATAATTCACATGTTTTAAGATTAACTTGTCCACAAATCACACATAAATTAAAGAACAAGACTATTTCATTCCAATATTTCACGTATTATCATTGGAACTACCATACCTGTCAAAATGACGAGTTTCTGTTTATTTATTTCGCAATTATTGATATTTTAAAAACATTCTAAAAATATTCATTATCCGAAACGATTTTAAAGATATATAATTTTTATATAGTATTGTTACGATCTTTATAAGCTATTTTTACAATCTCCATATCAATGTAATTACATATTAATTTAACATATTAACACCTTGTCCTATGATTTCTTTCTGAACTGTGATCGATTTAAGTACTTTGTTATTAATAATTTATTGAAGACAAAAGAAAATTCCAATCTTATTCTATGTTAAAGTGTGCTTTAAAGTGTAATCATTGATAACAGAAGAATAATATGTAATTTGAATTCAAACAAATTAAATAATATTTATGTTATGTTATGTGTATATTATGTTTGTTAAATTCTATTTGAAATCTTCATCACGTGTCTAAGTGTCTGATAATGTGAGTCTGGATTGTAGAGATTAATTAAAGAGATTGCATATTGTACAAAGCTTCATATTAAGTATCAAACTTTCTAATCTCGATATATCAAATCATTTGGTAACTGTGAGTTGGTTACCCTGTTCAAACGGTTAATATTCCTTTCCGTATAACGGCGAATCCCTCGTCAGCATAAGATCCATTGGTTAGTTTCTTTTTCCGCAACTTTGCTGACCCCTACTTTTCATCCGGGGATAACCAAGCAAGCATACGCAAACAAGTATTCCCCATTCCCGTGGTAAATAAACAACGACCGAAAAGTTGGCCCGACGGTTGCAAGAACCGACAGTGTGCCGAACTGCGGAACATGGTTCCACCATTCGGTTTCCGTGAAGAAAATGAAGTGTTTTTATCCCATCTGACAGCTTCTTATCTAACGAAAACGCGTTCGATTGCGTCCGTGGGAAAGAAATCCAATTTAAAGTTCACTTATCAGTCACGGAGTTAGGTTGTATCGGTAATGTTCCTTCCTGTTCGACGAGTGGCTGCCGTCTGACAATTGATCGGCGTAGAAACTTCTTTCTTATTCTTCTTCCTGGCCGGAAGATGCATCAAAGTTGGAGATAAATCGCGTACAGCTCGGATAACGAACATCCGAAGAGAAAGATGTTCTCCATCGCGGATACACTTCCTATTCGCGGGCCGCGGTTCCAACGATTTTTCAAAGGCCTGGTGTATGTATGGAATGCTATTTATTACTCCGAAAGCGGGTTCATCGATATTCACTGTAATCGTTGCGGAAGACTTCCGTATTTGGAATTGCGTGGTAATTGGGGTATTACCCATCGCACTCGAAAGGTAACTCGTGATTGCCTTTTCGTTTGAGTAAAATTGTAACATTCAATATTTAATATCGTATATATTCTATAATGTACTCATATAATAGATATGAAATATTAAAGTATCGCAATAGAATATTTTTATCCATAGATTCGTTATTTCCATTTAATAGAATAAGTATTTTAATAAATGTTTGAATAGAACACATTTCAACAGTAGATCTTACTCAGGAGATTGTATTAGCATCATTTCTGTAATTTCTAGAATATAAATTGTTTGCAAATCGATGTTTCCTTCGTGTTTTTAATAAAAATCAGGTAATACGAGACTAACAGGCACTTTTTTTCAATAAAAATTAATGACTGATTTACAGTTGTTATACATTTGTATAATAGTTGGAATATTAATCCTCTTCTTAATGTTTTCTTACTCAGAAATCGATAAGTAGTTATTATATTTTCAAATACTCATGTTTATATGACTCCATATTTCCGTTCTTTTATTTAATAAATTGCACTAACGGATTTGTTTCAATCTCCCGATTACTTTTCCTAGATTGTTTCTCTATAAAACGAGGAATGGCCTCGACTGTTCTCGCGAGAAGTTGAAAGTATGAAAGTCGCGGAGAGTTGAATGAGGGAAACAATCGAAAGAAGCAGAGTCGATGAGTAGAAAGAACGAGATTTATAACTGGAAACTATCTAGAAACGAGTTTACCGAAGTTTCAATCATTAGACGAAAATTACAAAGTTACACTGCGATTTCAAAGCTACGCTTGCACAAATAATAGTAATGAAAATTCCACATTTATTTGATAATTAAAAGTAGCAGTTTGTACGTGGATCGAAAAATAATTTCTAATTTTCTATTCACTTATTAAAGTGATTAAATTCCTCTTAGTATGATAATTGAATTTGTATTTGTAATAATATTTTCTGTTTTTATATTCAATGTTAGGGTAACTTCATAATTCCATATACCTGTATCTAATTTTTTATCAATTACTTTTTGTTTCCTAAGTTTTCCTTTTGCTTTAACCCAAGCTCTTACTATACTAATGCTGTACTATATAAAAACCTATGGAACATTTTACATACATGAAAATATTAATTTTATATCTTCATTCATCCACTGATGTAAATAACAAAATCAATTCACCAAAATACGTTAATATGTACCTATTACGTTCTCATACATTGGATTGATTTTAATGTGCCGTTTATATTATTATACACAAATAAATGTTACTGATAAATATAATAGATTGAAAAATAGTAGAAACTTGTCGAATAAAATGGAGAGCGCGTGTATACTTAGTTTAGTATATCAAAGTGTTGTTAAATAAAATAAGATTTGTCTTAACTCTTAGCTAGAAAAATTTTTCCCTGGCTATGGCCGACAAATTTATTTTACTATTAATAACTTTTGAGATCACAAAGAAATTTTCTGTTAAGCGTACATTTACTTTAAGGTTATACATTGATGATAGCAAAATAATCTTTCACTTAGATTTTAAGCACTAACGAAAACAAGTTCGGTTACAAGTATAAAAACGTTTTAACTTTCAGAATTTAGTTACGACTCGCTCAAAATGCGCATATAACTAATGAATGAGGAGCTACTTTCGGACAATCTGAAAACAACATGGCTATTTCACAAATGCATGTAAATAGCAATAGAAAAAAGCATACAATATATCTGAATTTATTTATGTTACAATCAGAGATTGAAAAGATTAAAAAAGAATTGTTCGAAACTGTAATATAGATATACATATAATAATATAATAATATGGAGAACCAAAAAAAAGACAACTGTTATGAGGTATATCGGTTCTGAGTAATATCGGCTTCGATTCCGCTTCTCCAGAATCAATATTACATCAATTCTATAACGGTTGTATAACTGTTATTTTTCGGTTCTGTATCAGTTCTAGAACTGTTATTTTTCAGTTTTCTATCGGTTCTGAAAGAAATGAAAAACCAAAATCAGGCATTAAAAAGGTTTTAAAAATAACTGTTTGAAACTGTGATTTATAGGTTCTAGCCAATAGGTTCTCGCTGAGAGAGTTATTGAGAATCAAAATAGGATCGTCGAAAACAGTTAACTCGTTAAAAATATGTCAAAACATTTGCATCAACTAAATAATTCATGAATTCTATTCCTCGACTTTTACCACGATGATGCATGTTTCAATAATTGTGACTCAAAGAAATCTGGCCGCGGGATGAGGTAAAGCTGGCGTACGTTCTCGTTCCTTTTTTACTGATTCGACACGCTTTAGGGTCTATTCTTACCAACTGTTTCTTGCCTTAGGGGAGGCTGTGAGGATTGGCAGAATCTCGAATGGAACGCTTACCCGGGTAAAGGAAGAGCCTGGATCCGATGACAGCCAAGGGTCGCCTCTTCCACTGGGGAAAAACCAACCCCTTCAGCACGAGCGCGTACCCGCAACGACTGTATCCTGCCAGATCTGGTAATGGCGATGCGGGTCCTGCAAAAAAAAGAAAGAAATGAAGAGCTGCGGTTCTAATCAACGTAGAGGTGGAGGCTACGTTAGGTAAGTACGAAGTAGCCATGTGATTTATCGAAATTCGAACGTTCCAGTTTTCGGTGAATGGAACAGGGATGCAGTTCTTTTCATTTCCGATTCATACTTATTGTCCGTGTTGGACAAATAATAATTAATATTAAAACTACCAGATGGGTCCAAATGGCCCGTCCTTCTGATTTTTTCTTTTTCAAATATTGAAATGATAACAAATTATTCTCGGCGGAATTATGGAAGAAATTGTTTTCGTAATACGCAAACTGAATTATAAATTGGCCGAAATCTCAGTAGATGCACTTTTAGCGTTTCAATAAAAAAAATTAGGAAAAGATAATTTGATTGCCGACTTCCGAATTTTTATTTTGTAAGTATTTTATAAGATTATACGTATTATATTTTTTGTAAGATTATGGAGGCGTTTTTTTGAAAGATTTTTAATTAAATTTGTATGCTTGTACAGATATGAAACTTCGCACCTTTGAATCTAAAAAGACGTATTTGTTCTAATTTAAAAAAAAATTGGAAATAAGTCACTCCAATTATTCGGTGGTTTTAGTGTTAATATAATCGATGTGAAGTATTGCGAGTAAATTTAGTGTATACTTGAATTGCGTGTGTTTTTGTATCTTTTCGATGCATCATTGAATGTCGTATGTTATTCTTCTGTCAATCTGTACATTTATATACTTGTTTATTGAATGGTTCATATTACACTGCGTAATTCTATCAGTTAGTCGCTGTGTAATGAATATTTCATAATCAATCGCTTTCTATAATGAATATTTGTGAAAAATTTGTTATTTATTTATAATGTGTGTTTGTGGAATTTTTGTAAGTCATGTACAGCGAACAGTATTCTTTTAAAGTGACTTGCTTTACATATTCAACGACACCAAAATTTTAAGCGTTTTGTAGTATTACTTGTTCTTTTATATCAAAGGCAAATGGTATAAGAATTAATTATTAACGATTTAGTATTATAGCTTTGAATTTAAATTATTATTTAGTTACTTATGTAACTAAACGTTTTGATTTGACATCAGTTTTCTTCTTGTAATTGTTTTCAAGCAATTTGGGCGCTTCAGTCATTTGTTAGCACTGTGACGATCAACGTGTTAGTCAAATGAAAATAGATTAATATTGGATTAATTAAGCGATAAAATAATATTGTTTTTAATACAATGTTCTAAAAAAAGAAATCAATGCTAGAATTGATAGTGGGTTAAAAGTTACTTCTATTTCATTTGTTAGTTTTCTGGTAGTGGAATTTTATGAAAACTTACAAAAAATTAATTAAACAAATAGTATTTTTTTATTATTAATTAATACATATACCTATAACGATCTTTTAATTCAAATTTCTGAGATATTCAAACAAATATTATTCTCATCCTTAACTTTGAGGGTTGCTTTAACCCCTTGAATATGGATGGCGGCGGATATAAAAAGTCTGTTAACGTTATTTCACTGTGTATTCTTGCAAGCTTCATTTACAGTAAGCAAAGAGACTATTCAAAAGTTCATTGTATAAACATTGCACTGTAATCAAAGTTAGGGAGTAAAATTCATTAAACAATATTTAACACAAGTAAGTTTTCATTTCTATTATTTCTCTTAATACAAATTATCGTTTTGTAGCTATCGTTGTATACTTACATGGTATACTTTTAAGAAACAAACATTACAGAAACAAATAAATATAAAATAAATATAAAAATAAATGAAAAGTGTGAAGAAACAAATGGTATACTTTTAACAGAACTAAAATTCTTACAGGTACAACAAAAATTAATTAATACCAATTTAAAAATTAACCAAAAATAAAAAAGTTGATTTTAAAATTGAATTAAGATAAAACATGGGATATTATATGCATCGATACCATTCTACACTGAAAGAATGTGACACTACTCCCACCAAGTCGTTGTTATTTCGAGCAAACCGTTTCGAGCATTGAAAAATAGAATCCGAAATCCTTAGTAAAGTTTCCGGGAAGAAGTTGCCGGAACAGATTTCAAATTCATGAAATTGTAATTTTCCCGCTGCACGCCTCCTGGCGCGAAATATTATGTGCGTGAATTTAGTAACTTTGAGAAGTGCAGGGAACGTGGAAAATCAAGGGAGTAACCGATTTTATGAAACCGTGCATACCTAGATGCCATGGAAATTCTTGGGAAAAATATCAAAGGGTGCAATAACCGACGAATTTATTAAATTTCCCTTATTATATATGCATTAGAAAACGAAATTGCGAAGCGGTTACTCCGCGTCTAAACGTGCCTTTAACCCTTCGTCCTTGAATATGTATTTTTCCCCTAAATCAGAGAGGGCCAAGCTGCTTTCAAGTGAAATCGAAGGTTTTCAGTGGAAGAAATAAGATAACCACTAATAACAATAATGATGAGCATTTAACTTCTCAGCCATGAACAAAGATCCTCGTGTAGTACCATTTTCCTTTATCTTTAATCCTTTTAATACTATGGAGGTCACCAGTGACCCCCAACCGAATCGAATTACTATAGTTCATTCAATTAAACGATGATTATTTGAAAACATTTCTACATTATAAATAATGCCACCTAATGTGGTGACATTCAGCTAGATAAACGTGCAATAACAATAATGCAATTCAGTCAAATGATTGAATATTATATTTTTTCTATATTGTGTATTTTGCTCTATGAAATCGTGCGACATTCGGCGTTTTAATGCTAGATCTACCAGACGGTTCAAAATGGTCCATTTCTGATTCCTTATTTTTCAAATATTGAAATGATAACAAATTAATTTCTGAGGAATTATTGAGGAAATTGTTTTCGTAATACACGAACAAAACAAACATAAATTAGTCGACATCTCAGTAGATGCACTTTTAGCGTTTTTACAAAAGAATTAGAAAAAGACAATTCGATTGCTCGGTAATTTTAGTGTTAAGGTATTTCTTAGCTTTCCGGTAATTTAAAATGTTCGTGGTACCTATATGTACTATTCAGGACGATAGGGTTACAAAAATCTTTTTACGTAATATGATTCGTATCGAGCGAAATTTTGATAATCGATATAAATGAACGGTTGCATTAATGCACTTTCGTGTCGGTGTTCACAATTGCATTGATGTTTCTGAAACGCACCGTTAAATAACACTTCATGGTGCAAAGCATGCAAATCATCCCCCAGGGACTTTGTAGGCTACGTTCTCCTGACGTCATCATGTATATTTCATGGACGCGCACGAACGTTGATATCGTTCCCGAACAATTTTCGATCGTTCCACTTTTTCTTCGATGAACCTTTTCTTCTGTTGTATTTTAAAATTTGCCAATTTCGCTTTACGATGGAACTGAAATTGCAATAGGTGTTTTACGAGAATATTTTGTGGAAAATTAGATTATTGATGGAAACATTTAGTATCATAAAACTTGTTACACTTATTCATTTTTTATTATTATTATTCATATTGATGCTCTTTCTGTGATGGAAATGATTGTGCAATTAAAATTTATTGTTAATATAGATATTTGTTTACAATGATGTGTGAAGCAATTTTACATACGTGCATGCGTACAGAGTTGTAGGAAAGAGGAAAATAAAATTCTATTTTTTTCTTATTAATATTTAATAGTTAGAATAAATATTGATTTATTATGAATGTTGAAACTCTTGTTCTGTTTGATGGTTATTAAGAATGAAGTAGTTCTAGTAACTGCATCTTCAAAGGAAGTGCACGAGTCGTCTCTAATTAAAAGTGAAAATGAAGTGTGCCTCGGAACATTTTTTGAGATAAATTCAAATACGTCCACAAAGATTGATGCGTTTCGGGTGTAGTTTTGCCTTTGAACATTGTTCAAACGTATTTAAATACTAATAATATTATTATAATTTACATCATTGTGACGAGGAAGGTCTATAGAAGAATGCTGTGCAAGAAAACTTCGAGAAATTTTCGTAATTCAGACACGACAAATGTCCAACGTTGAAAATTTGGGTATTTCTTCAAAATTGATTTTTTAAAAAACTGAGGATGACGGAGAAAAACAAATTGCATGTTTACAATTCAAAATAAGAAATACTATGAGAATCATCTCTAAAATTTTCAAAACAAACAGAAAGGTAAATTTTAGACCAGTGTTATTAATAACAGAAATGAGAGAAAATTAATAATAACGTTGTTGATCAAATAACTTTGGTATTCTAACGTACCAGAAAGGTGCGTATTTGCTCGGTGAACGCTAAGCTGCAAGTAAATTAGGATATATTCTGTGGTATTCTATTAAATCAGAAGGTATTAAATAAATGTTGACATACGTACAGCCTGCTCTTAATGCGATTTCTTGTTTGCTCATAGATTAACGAAGGTTAATTATCGCGAATCACGGATAATATATTATGATCGGATATTATAATATTTGCGAATAAATTGTTTCTGTGTGCTCTTTGTTCTAAGAATTATTTACATTTATATCTATTTGTTGATGGTACATAAAATATATCTTGTAATTAATGGTACAATTGGATTTCGTCATTTTTTAAACAATTTTATGAATATCAGTGGTACAATCAACAAAATTGTATTATACGGGAAAAAATGATTCAACAATGTATAACGAAATTTTTTCATTTAAAATTCTATTTTTTAGGAAATCCAATTTAGAAACTCGAGCACTGACTATCTAGTGAACGACAGAATACGTTCAAATTCGATTATTTAGAAAACGAGGTCGCAATCGAAAAGATTATATTTCATATCTTTGAATTATATTCGTGTGTAGATTAATTCTTTATCAATTGAAGTATTTATGTAAGTTATAAATATATCAAATTGAAACTTTATTACATCTTTTTGATTGATTGTTTTACGCAGTGTGACACTTTTCTCGGTTTTTCAGTGAACGTTATCTATACATTCATTATTTTAATTTTTTTTTATAGAAAAAGTATAATTA